AGCTTTACCGTTTTGTGAATAGGGAAATTTTTCTTAAGAAAAATGGTGACAAATTCATCCCAAGTTAAGATAGAATTTGTCGGTAAGATGTAAGGCCATTTTTTAGCTTTATCATTAAGAGAAAATGGAATAAATCTAAGCTTAATCGCATCTTTGGTTAATTCTCTCATTTTAATCATAATACACACTTCCTCAAATTTCGAAATAAAAATATATGCATCTTCTGTTTCATTTCCAAGGAATTTGGGAAGCATGTTTATGTAATACGGTCTAAGCTCGAAATTTGCTCCATTTGCTTCGGGGAGTCTTATGGACGAAGGAATTGCATTTCTGGTAGGGTAACACATATCATGGAGAATGGGTTGATTTGCTATTTCTTAGATTGGTTCAACACAGATTAAACGATGAGAATTATCCCTAACCCAAGTTTGCATACACCAAAACAACTTCTTTTTATAATAATATTTTTTTAAGAAAGAACGAAAATTGGTTTTTTTATAAGAATAAAAGGATAAAGAAAAATCCTAACTAAAATAAATCAAAGCAATCACTTTTCAATCACTCTAATTCTAGGGTTTAGCCTAACTCAACTAGACCAACTCCTAACCAAAAACTCCTAAAGTGAAAAGATTAAAGTTTTACCCAGGTAATTAGCCTGGTAAGGATAGTATTAGAGGGTGATCAGAGATCAATTAAGTACCTCATTCCTTACGGAGCGCTTTACGCAACGCCTAAACCTTGCCTTAGACACCAACTAATCTGAGAAAACTTAAACCGGTTCACTTAAGGATTTCTTGTTCCTTATTGAGTTTGAATCCTTAGGGGCCAACGTCTATTGAGTTTTAGGAGGCTTGGGTTTGTGAAGTGAGGAATTAGTAATTTGTGGGCTAAGGAAAGGGTGATGAAATCCCTTACCTTATCTTGATTATGGGGTTTTACGCCCTTAAGAATGTTTTAAGTATGTGCCAAATCAAGCGCTACAATCACTTTGGTGAATTCCTACTAACTATGAAATGCAACCCTAGAAATTAAAAGCAATTAAAAAGGATGGGAAAAAAAATCTTTTTTTTATAATTATGGTCAACAATAATCAAATGTGAGAAGAGAGATCTTGTTTGAATTTATTATCTTGTTAGTTAATGTCCAAGTGAAAGGTAAATTTTATTATGGTCAACAAAAATAAAATCTTTTTTTTAAATCCTAATTATCTCTAATTGTGAAGCTAACTAAAAAGGGTGGAATTAAAAACGCTAGAAAGAAGACTTACCCGAAAGCAATTCTCTAAGTTTTTGATCTTCAATCCAAGATTTTCAAGCTCCAAGCGGTTCCTTCACAAGAAAAACACACAAGTTAAAGAACCAAAATAATAAAATTATATTTTAGCACCTTCCCCGGTAAAGGCGCCAAAAACTTGATGCGACATAATTATGTACCAAAATTGCAAGTGCACAATTGATCAAGTTATAGTATAAAAAGTTATCGATCCCACGAGGAAGGTGATTTTAAGAGATTATTAGAATTGGTTCTTATGTTTTGTGCGTGACAAAAATAGGATTAAAGAATAAGTGTGATTATGGAGAGAGATATGATGAGTGGTTGTTTTGAATATATGCAAGTAACAATAAATTGAATTTGAGCGAAGAGAAGTAAGAATCAAAGAATAGAATAAAAAGCAAGAATAACAAGAGAAAAAAAATCAAGAAAAACAAACGATGGAGAATTCAATTAAAGATATGAGAGATCTAGAATTAAATCCACTAGCTAATTTCAATTACAAAATACAAACTATTCTCTTTTTATCATATTTCGACTTAGATTTATTAAGCATAGACTATCAAACCATTTAAGGAAAGTATAACCTATCAAATTATCATCTAAGTTAAAATTACAATTCATGATAAGAATAACTACAAGATAGTAATCCTAGAATTCATAAGCATAACCTATCAAACCATTTAAGATAAGCATAGATTATCAAATTCTTCTTCTACCAATTAGTTCTCTAGTTGATTATCCTAAACATGAATATTTAAGTGCAAGAGAATAATTCATACAATATAAAGGAAATTAGACTAGTTTCATATAATTCTAAACTTCCTACAAGAATTAAATTCACATCTTTAAGAAATAAAAACAAGAAAAAGAACTAATTACAAAAATAAAAAGAAAAGAAAAATCTAAACTATGAACAAGAAATAAATCTAACTACAAAGAAAATAAAAATCTACACTACAAAATATATTACAAAAATTAAATGCGAGAAAATAAATCGTAAAAAAAAAAATAAAAAGACAAGAAAATAAATCTACACTACAAGCATGAATGTAAATCTAACTAATAAGCAATAATAAAGAAGTTACTAAAAAGAAATAAATGAGAAAAATAAAAGAAAAGCAAACCTTCAAACTTTTCTTCATCTCCATCATCATCATCCAACAAAGAGAAGAAGATTTGAAGTAGAGAAAAAAATTATTTTTATTAATTGTAACAAAAGTTATAAATTTAGAAGGCCTTCTCAATTAAGAGTAGTCCTCCTCTCCAAATGGAGTTATAAAATTTTTCACACCTCTAATCCCTCACTCTCTACCCCTATTTATAGTAAACATCAGTGAATGAGAGCCATTGGATTAAAATCTTATCCAAAAATAACAAATTACAGCCCTTAATTCGTAACTGACTATACGATGGTATCGATACCAGCATCGATAGGCGTATCGATGCTGGCATCGATACGGACATCGATTCTAGCATCGACCTTGTGTGTTGGACTTTTGGCAACTTGGGTTTTTGGGCTTTTGGATAATTCTTGATTTCTTCATGCATTTGTTTTGGTTTTGGCTTTGGGCTTTGGCATTTCTTGGGCTTTAATTCTTCTTCTTAGCTTAGACTTTTGGATAATTTGGAAATTAATTTTTTAATGGACTTCTTTGCTTCATTTCTTTATTTAATCAATGGGTTTTTGTTGAGAGATGGGAGTTTGAGATTTATTCTTCATTAACCTGCAATTAAAAGATAAAAACAATTATTAGTGGTATATTTATTCATATAAAATAAATAATGATGGTATAAAATTATAATAAAATATGATTATCAATTAGTTTTAATTGGCATAAAATCAGATTAGATTAGCATAAGATCCTAATCTCCCCTCCTCTAGGGTCTAACATTTACCGCATGTACCCAGATTGCTTCATGAAGTTATGCAATGTCTTGAGAGAGCAGGGCCATATACAAGACACATACCACAAGTGTTGAGGAGATTGTTGTTATTTTTCTTCTCACGGTTAATCAGAATCAAAGATACTCTGATGCAACCGATAGATTTGATTATTCAAAATGGACTATCAGTATATGTTTCAATAAAGTATTATATGCCCTGGTATCTTTAACATCATGCTTAATGGCATCACCCCCTACTGATTCACATGATAAGGTTAAATTAGAATCTCACTTTTGGCCTTATTTCAAGGTAATTTTTATTCCTCAAGATTTTACACACATGCAGATGCACAAACGTGCACACACGCGTGCGCGTCCACACACACATCACTTGAGATGGTCTGACACATTGATTATTCAGGACTGTATCGATGCAATAGATGTGACTCATATTCCGTGCATGGTGTATAATATAGATCAGATGCCCTATCGAAATAGACATGATTTTCTCTCTCCGAATGTCTTGGCAGATTGAACATTTGATCTTAAATTTATTTATGTCTTAGTTGGGTGGGAGAGCTCTGCTAATGATGCAAGAGTCTTGAAGGATGCGATGAGTAGACCTTATGGACTTCCACTTCCATAGAGTAATAATCTTTACATAGTATTATATCAATTACAAAATATTTTTTAGTTTTATAATATTTTCTCATTCATAATTTTATTCTTTTTTGTAGATAAAGCTTATACAGATGACTGCGGCTATCCAAATAGGCTATAATTCTTGCTCCATACTGAGATTAATGGTACCATCTTTCAGAGTTCGGTCCTACTAATAATCGACAACGAGCACGAAATTCAAAAGAAGTTTTCAACCACGGCATGCGTCTCTTAGAAATTGTGTTGAGTGCATCTTTGGAGTTTTTAAGTCTAGATTCACTGTTTTCAAGAGCCAACCTCCAAGTTTTCCATATGTCACACAAATAAACATGTTTGTTGCATGCGTAGGAGTGCATAACTTTTTAAGATTGAAGAATACAAATACTGACTTCGACATTTCTGATCTTCCACTAGAAGCTCCATGAAACGTTGCTGATGCAGATGATGACTCCGATGAAGAAGACGAGTTACAGACTCAACAGACTCAACAAGTAGCGGCATGAGCTTGGAGAAATTCTATGGCAGAGGTCATGTGGGATGATGGAAGTCGAGTCACTCTAGGGATTTAGATTTTTTTTAGTTGTAAAATATTTTATTATTTGAGATGAATAGTGATGCTTTATTGCTTTATATTTATAGTTATTACTAGACTATAAAATATTTTATTATTTGAGATGAATAGTGATGCTTTATTGCTTTATATTTATAGTTATTACTAGACTAATCAATTACTAATCAATCTTATATGATGCTTTATTGCTTTATATTTATAGTTATTACTAGACTAATCAATTACTAATCAATCTTATATTATTTATAATATACAATTATTAACAATAGTAATATATATCCACCATTACCCCCACCAAATTATCCTATAAAATTATACAACTTCATAAATTATCCACCATTATCCACCAAATTGTCCTACCAAATTATTCCACTTTAAAAATTATTCATCATTGTTCCACTAAATTATCCCAGTGTCAAAAAATTATCCCACTTTACCAATTATCCCAATTCAACTTAAAAAGTTCTAGATGACTAACCCTTGGTGGTTTACTGTAATTTACCCTAAAAAAATACTTTATTATCAGAATAACGGATTTTATTATCAGAATAATGGATTTTATACCCTTCACACCCTCGAAAACATCAAGCAGCGCCCGGACTTGGTGCCACTAGTTGATAGAAACCAACCGGCTTCACCCCCTTACAAAAATGGCTCACAGAGGACTCCGTCTATTTTTATCCCCACTCTTTTCTTTAATTATTAATTATTCCCCTCAAACTTCTCTCTCTATCTCATGCATCCAGCTTCTCCCTCCTCATTTGTCTTCTTCATTCTTCACCCTCCAATCTCCCTTCTAATTTAATTCCCTCTCTCTCTCTCTCTCTCTCTCTCTCTCTCTCTCTCAATTCCTTCATCCATTACCAATTGCAATTGTTTTGTTAGTTGGGCTTTAATGGCAACCCAAGCTGACAATTCAAGCCCAAAAAAAGAGGCCCATAAAGAGGGGGCTTCGAGGTTTCGGGTGACGGTTGTCGGAAGTGGAAACTGGGGCAGCGTAGCGGTCAAGCTCATCGCCTCCAACACCCTTCATCAATCCATCTTTCATGGTAAATTTTTTATTATTAATAATTTGAATGAATTAATTATTGAAATTTGTTTGATGATATTTTTGAAGAAAAGAAAAAAAAAGCGTAATTTTGCTAGTTACCACGTGGCGCTCCTGCCATTTTCTGTTAATTGTCTTTATCTATGGTCAATTTGTGATTTTCTAACATAAAGATTCAAAACTCGATTGGTAGCAAAAAGGATATGAAACAAATGTATCAATCCAATCAGATACAGCACATTTGCACATGTTAATGTGGGCCTTAAATATATTCTATTTATGTCAGATTTGGTGGTTGAATTCATACTTGTGCACGCCCATTCTTATTTATGGTCTAATTTATGCACGGCAATTAGATATTTTTAGTTTAATAAAAAAAGAAAAAAAAAATACAATTTTGCAGTTTTAGTCTATTAAGTGATGCGCATTCTTGAATGATAATGATACTACCCAACATATCATATCTCTTTTCTGTCAAATTTGCTTAAAATCCTACTCTTGAAACACTATTTTACTATGTATGTAAATATATAATAGCAGTGGTGATTGACAATTAAATGATGATATTAATCTACAGATGAAGTGAGAATGTGGGTGTTTGAAGAAGTCCTGCCTAGTGGTCAAATGGGACTGACGAACCTCCAATGGACGGCCATTTTCCATGTTCTCTTTGAGAGCAAGTTCAGCTTTGGGGAAAAGAAATTGATTCCAGCTTTCAGCCATGGTTCGTCGCTCATTCATACGAATCATAATCTGTTTACGTATGTGCTCTACCAGTTGAAGTATCCGTAGTAGCCTAGCCTCATGTATCCATTTGTTGAATGACTCTGCAACATTTGATGTAACGTGACCATATCTGAAACATAATAGGGAATTCGTCAAGCGGCTTATAATAGTCATGTAATGAAATTGGTCTAATTTATGCACGGCAATTAGATATTTTTAGTTTAATAAAAAAAGAAAAAAAAAATACAATTTTGCAGTTTTAGTCTATTAAGTGATGCGCATTCTTGAATGATAATGATACTACCCAACATATCATATCTCTTTTCTGTCAAATTTGCTTAAAATCCTACTCTTGAAACACTATTTTACTATGTATGTAAATATATAATAGCAGTGGTGATTGACAATTAAATGATGATATTAATCTACAGATGAAGTGAGAATGTGGGTGTTTGAAGAAGTCCTGCCTAGTGGTCAAAAGCTCACAGACACCATTAATCGAACTAATGTAAGTTGGTCTCGTATTTGTCATTTTCTACATCTATCTTTGCATTTTGGTTGTTTGAACAAAAACTACGATGGATACACTTATATTCGTTCTTCAATGTAACTGTAATTTATTTTAACTAAAGTAGTTAAATGGTATTCTTTGCAAAAGTTACTTGCAATCAAATATATTGAAGTCATTCAGGTAATAAATTGGTTATTTTGTTAATTATGATTGCAAAAAGGCTCTAGCTAACATGAAATAGACAAGTGTAGTTATCCCATTCAATTATAATTACAATTAGTTATAAAATTCCGCAAACAATATGCACGACTTACACAATTGCTGAGTTTTGGACAGGAGAATGTCAAATACTTGCCTGGCATAAAGCTTGGGAAAAATGTAGTAGCAGACCCTGACCTTGAGAATGCAGGTAATCTCATATGTTTCAGTGAAAAAAAAATTTGCTACAAGGTCTCAGGATCAATATATGAACCTAACAGCATTCTGATTATGTCTTGGATTTTTTTGTTTGTTCACATCAGTAATTAGCAAACAAATCCTCAACATAACTGCTTTTCCTTGGGTTTCTTTTTTATTTTCCTTCCGACACTTAAAAGACATGGAGAATGGCAAAAGAAAGTACTTTTCTTATCGATTGTTAAAACCAAATATTTTGGGGAAATTCATAAGATTTTTCAATGGATGTTTTTGCACAAACTTGAAGTGTTCTTTTACCAGTTTTTTAGTAATTTAATTACCAGCGAAAAAGAGCATTTTCTTCTTAGATAATATTTTTCATTGATATAATAAAATATGATAAGATAATTTAACATGTACGAAGTGAAACTAGAAGTGTGAAGCAATTGCTAGTTTCACATTCAATTCCAGTTCCATTCAATATTAAAATCTCTAATTTTCAGTTGCTTAACAACTTAAAATTTTATATTTCACAGTTTCAGTCTTGGGTTTCAATTGACTAACCCATCATTACTGGTAACAGTTATTATTTTTCCCTGAGGGTGTTAGTCAATGGGAACATTTTCATAGGAAGTGGAATAATTGTTGAAGTGTGACATTTTTTTGAAAGTGATATATTTTAGTGGGATAATCAGGAGCAGTTTTTTGAAGTGCGATTTTTTTGATAAAATGATGTGGGATAATTTGTGATAATAAAGAACTATATAACTTTTGCATTTGATGATAAAACTACTATTTTATATTTTTAAACTTACTATTATTTATTACTATTTATTTAATATAATGTTAGTTATTGTTGAATAACTTTTGGTTAGAATACAATATATTGTTAATAATTATTATAGTAATACTTCAAAAAAATTATTTTTGTGAGTTATTATAGTACTAGTCTAAAAACTTAAAGTTTTTCACATTCCTTCTTGTTTTACACCCATAAATCTCTTTCCTTAATATCTCAATTTCAATAAATTTTAAATAAATTATGGATTTATACTTTTTTATTTTAACATAATTATATAAATCGGTGTTTAAAAAAATCTGTTATATAACCCGTTATAACCTGTTTTGTAACTTAACAGTGCCTTCTTGTTAGGTAACACACCCACTTAACCTTGAAACTGTTTAATCTAGAATAAACACGTTATATTGCATTAAATGTGCATTACATTGTATAACCAGTTAACATATATATTTTTAGGTTAAATTGCATCTCTGGTTAGGATGCGTTGATACATCTCCACCGTCCAAATCATTTAAACCCTACCTCTTTTAGTCCCGATCACCCTATTCTCTTCTTGCGAATATGCGATCTCTTCGCATCCTCCAATCCAAACCCTAGCTCTTTGCTTCCTTTGAAACTCCTCCGGCTATAGGTGGATTCTGTGACTCAGGTGAGATAAATTTTTTATTTTTTAGTTATGTATCGGGCATCTCAGTTTATATCATTTAAATAAATTATGATTCTAAAATTACCTTTCAAATTCTAATCTTCTATATTTCCAATTTATCATAAATTATATCAAACTTGTTGCTCCATTATTTTACCTTTCAGCAAAAGTTTTTAAGATCTGTTGCCGAATTAGTGTGCTGAGATTAATTAATGGATTAATTGTGTTGGTTAGGTAATTACTTTTAGTTATTACGTGATTTTAATTAGGTTTTAGTCTATAGTTTTCAGTTAATACTAGAGCTTGTGAAATTAAGTTTGCACGCAATCGTGTAGATGCAAAATTTCTTACTATTGTTACAAAATCATGTTTAGTTTGGTTGATGTAGTGAACTTAATTAGTATTAGAATATTTTTGTGAAGTTAAGAACTCGAGAGTGAAAGTGTTTAGACTTGTTTTTATTGCCTTAAACTTGACAATGTTAACATATTTGATCATTTGATGATGCTTTTTGAAATGGTTGTTAGTCATATATGACTAACTTTTGTTAAAAAATTGTGATACTACATTTTTATATTTGATAATTGTGATGTTATATTTGAAAAGTTTAATGGTTCTAAATATTAAAGTTATTATGAATTGTTAGTGTTTATAAAATTTCTGAATAAATAATAAATGATATAACCTACATTATGCATTATTTTCTTTTTGTGTTTTTTCCCTTAACCCTTAACAGGAGGTTAAAACGTTACATAACCCATTTTTGTTATTTTCAACATTGACATAAATCTAATACTCTATAAAAATATGAAAATAACATATAAAGAGAGGATTAAGAGTAAAGGCGGTCTAGTATGATAGCGTGGTTAGATAATGGCGATGACTATTTGAGGATGGAGAAAAGAAAAGAATTATGAAAACTAAAAATAAGAAATAAATAGGGGAGTTCTAGTTTTTTACTAAGTAGTTTCAGCCCAAAACATGAGATAATTTAAGAGACTAGAACTCTTTATTTTGTATAAAGAAATAAAAAAATAGGATAATTTTTTTACCATTATCCTAGTTTTAATATTGTTCTAGTTCTAATTGACTAGTACTATAAAATTTTATCCAAGTTCTAATTCTAGTTGACTGATACTGCAAAACTTTATCTCAAAAATAATCCTAGTTTTAGTTTTGAGTTCTACTTGACTATCCCCCACTCTAATCTCCCGGGGGGAGGGTTAGTCACCTAGAACTTAAAATTAAAACTTGGATAATCTGTGGGATAAATTTTTAAGGTGTTAGTCACATAAAACTATAACTAGAACAAAATTTTACAGTGTTAGTGAAGTAGAATTCTAATAAAATTAGAATTGGGATAATGATACAAAATTATCTCATTTTTTTATTTTTCTATACAAAAATAAGAGTTCTAATCTCTCAAATTATTCTAAGTTTTAGTTTGGAACTAGGTGATAAAAAACTAGAACTGATAAAAAACTAGAACTCATTTATTTTGTTATTTTTTATTTTTTATATTTCTTTTTTTTACTTCTTTCCTATTATGGTCATCACCATCATTAGACCATCATTATAATAATAATTATCAATATCTTATAGTCTAATCAAAAGTTATTTAATTAATAGTAATGAATATTCTTGTAAATAATTATCAATCAATAATAGTAAGTTTAAAATACATAAATAGTATTTATCACTGTTATAAATAGCGGTAAATAGCCCCGCAATAGCGACGCTAATAGCGTTAGCGGTCCCTTCCCGCGACGCTATCGCTCGCTACGCTATCGCATAATAGCGGTGACATATTGCAGAATATGTCTGTTCGCAAAAGCGGCTAATAGTGTGTTGAGCGATTGTATTCGAAATTTGCTTTTTGACTGCTATTTAAAAACGGTTTGAGGCTTATTTTTTAAAATTAAACTCAACTCTTGACCATTGCATTCCACCGTCTCTTGTGATTTTCAGTATACTCTCCGCCATCTCTTATATCCTCTGGCACCTACCTTGATACTTCCTCTCACCTCTTTCACCGTGAGCTCCTCTTAGGGCAGTCCTGTCACCGCTAAGCTCTTCTTCTCGAAGACGACGACTTTTTGACTCCTCCAGTCATCTTCGGTATTATGTGATGGTTACATGTCTATTTTATGTTTAGGATCTCTTTAAATCATCTAATATGTACTTTTAGATTTTTTAGATTTTTTTTTAATTTTTTAGTATTTATACATATCTAAATTAGACCGCTATTTGACTTTGCGTTTTTTACCGCTATTTTGTCGTAATAGCCCGAAATAGCCTTAGGGATGCCTCACCGTTACGCGACGCTATCCGCTATCGATAACATTGCCCCGAAGACAATTTGAAATTTTGAAAAAAAATACTTAAACTCAATCCTTCCCCTCCCACTCTGTAATTTTTTTAAAAGGTTAAGAAAATCAGCACATGTGCTTCGTTTTAGCCCTCCCTTCTTTCATCCTCACTAATTAAAAATTGTAAACAACACAGTTACTAGATAGTTAAAATGGTAACCTTCCAACCCCTCCCTCTCGTCTTGAAAAGAGCCATCAATACCCATTGTTAAATAAATTTTTCTCAAAGTTCCAAAATGTCCCTAGAGAAAGCTCCAAATTTGAGCTGGTAGCTCTCTTTAGAGACAAAGATTCAAATTTGATTCTATAGCTTCAATTCTCTTCTCTTTCCTCTAAACAAACACAAGTTACAGTGTACTCTATCTTTCCCCTCTTTTCAATCCAAACACAATAAGTTCCTTTGACATAAATCCAATACCCTTGTACAAGCCTAATAACATATACCCAGTGTTGTAAATAGCGGCCAATAGCGGGGCTATAGCGGCGCGAATAGCGGTCGCGGCCCTTCAGCGCTACGCGTAGGGGTTTCGCGGCTGGCTTAAGCGGGAAAATCCGCTATTCATTCGAATAGCGCGTAAAAGCGGATTTTAGCGGGTTAAAAGCGGGTTTTCGCGATTAAAAGCGGATTTTCGCGGTTAAAAGCGGATTTTTGTTGTTAAAAGCGGCTAAACCCGCTAAACCCGCTATCACACATATTATGATGCTATATTTCTTGAATTTCTTCATAGTTTCATTCATACAACAAGCTTATTAATTGTTATTTATTGATAATACAAGAAATTTACAACTAATTGAATTTTTAGATTTTTTTATGAATTTTCTTATTATTTAGAATATTTAAATATATTTAAAATTGACCGCTATTTGACTGTGCGCTATTTGCCACGATTTCGCCGCAATAGCCCGATATAGCCTTAGCGGTACCTCGCCGCGACGCGCCGCGATCCGCTATCAGCAACCTTGATCTCACTTTGTTGAGGTTATTTACTTCGGTTCTTGTTTCCTTTGTGAAACGAGATCAACCGGATCTGATACTCGACGGTCCACGGATCAAAGAGTTCCCGACACAGGAAAAGATCTCACGCAAGCAGCGATTAATAAACGATCATGCGTGTGTTTCTAGGAGATCATATTTGTTATTTTTATTTGTGTAGAAAAGTCCTATAAAAAGGCTCATTTTGAATCTATTGTAATCG